GGGCTCTTGGCCATGTTGCCCGGGGAAAGGGCAGGACTTCCCGCTTCCCTGGCCCCCAGCGCTGCTGCTGGTGTCAGGCCCCACTAGTCCCCAGAGCAAAGAGGCAGGACAGGGGCAGAGCTAGAGCAGGGAGAGGTGGGTTGGGCCAGCTCTCCCCCAGGCTAGAGGGTTGTCACATGGAAGGGGACAGTCACATGGTCTGTGCCCCCTCCCCGCCCCCCACGTCCTTCCTCACCATCAGCGGTCACCCCTTCACCCAGTACTGAACCCGCTGCCACACACAGGCGGCAGGTCCCCCCACCACCGCAGAGGCAGCCGTTCATCGCCCGTGCTCAGACAGCCTGGGGAACGCGGTGCCAGGGGCTGCTTCACGGGCCGAAAGCGCAACGGGCTGGAACCCACGGGCGTCCAGCAATGGCGGGTGGCCAGGATGGTCGGGGTGCACCTGAGCCCCCAGCTGGGGAGGATCACCCCACAATCAGTGTCATGTGAACCCCCCTTAAGCGCTGCTATCGGCCACTGCCCACGCCAGGACACTGGGCCAGCTGGACCACTGGGCACCCCCGCCGGGCAGCGCTCACCCTCCGCCAGGCTTGGTAAGAAGTAAAATTGCTGTACTGAGAAAACCCCAAGGAAGCAGTTTGACTTCATGGCCCTCCCCCCGCCCCGGCAACAGACACTTCGGCACAATCCGTGTCACCAACTCTGCGTTTGTTGGCTGGCAAATAAAAGCCTGAAACGTGTCACATGCCTCCAGCGGGGGCTGCCCTGCTGCCGGACGGGGGGCTGAAGGCTGGATGTGAGGAGCAGGCTCTTGGGGTGACTCTGGAGCAGCTGCCCTGGATTCACTCCGGAGTAACCGGGTTAAGGATCAAGCTAGGCCCTGGGGGCTTAGGCCTGGTCTGCCCTGGCACGGGCTAGGCTGGGCCCCGGCTATGGGCCAATCAACCCAGCAGCCTTCCTGGGGGCAAGAACCAAACTTTTATTGTAAAAATACACGGTTATAAATACCCTGCACAGGGCTCTGCAGCGATTGGGGGAGGGGGAAGGAGCCCCCCTGTTCCCGTTCGCTGGGGGAGGGGTGCTCTGTGGAGATGGGGAGGGCGAGCTCAGTGACCAGCAAGTTTGAGGAACCCGAGGGGGCAGGCGAAGACCCCCGGGCAGATTAAACCCACCACAGGCCCATGGAGCTGCCGACATAGTGGAGGAGCCTGGGGGACCCCACTTCCACGTTCCCAGTCGGGGTCCAGGCTGGAGAAGTGTTATGGATCCAGCCTCTTCTCTTTTCCCTCCACCCTACTAGGGCCAAGCTGCCCCCAGTGCATCAGCACTCAAGGCAGCAGGGTGAGCTCTGCCATCGGGGGAGGGAAGGGGGAGGGATCAGGGCCAAGCCATCTCCCCTCACCCAGGCTAAGGAACCTCCTGGGCTGCAGGCAGAGGAGGGGTTTAAAACAATCAGGGGCCAGTTAAAATACCTGTTTGGGTGGCAGGACAGCCCTGACTCCAGGGTGAGGGGCCCATTGGGAGGCAGGTAGCCAGCACCTGCACCCCAGGAAGCCATGCGGGGGCTCTTACTACCCCTGCCCCTCCGGGTTGTCCCAGTTTAAGGGCTCCTTGCTGGGATCAGGGCAGGGGAGGGGTGCGCAGGCCGGGGCGCTCAGGATCTGCACCAGCAAGTCAGTGGCCAAGGTATGAGAGGGCTCCTCGAAGCCGATGGTCAGCAGCGGCTGGAAG